GTTTTATGATGAATTGCAACATTTTAGGCAGGAAATGTGAACACTGAGAGAAGAGATGATTAAAGTGTACAGACAGTCCCTGACTTACTTACGGTATGACGTTGAACAATTTTTCAACTTTATAAAGCAATACGCATTCAGTAGAAACTGTACCTCAAATTTTGAATTTTGTCTTTTTCCTGGGCTAGCTATATGCAATAGGATACTCTCTTATGATGCTGGGCAGCAGCAGTGAGCCACAGCTCCTAGTCAGCCATGTGATCATGAGGGTAAATAACTGATACACTTACAACCATTCTGTACCCATACAACCATTCTATTTTCACTTAGTATTCAATAAATTACATGAGATATTTGACACTTTATTATAAAATAGGATTTGTGTTAGATGATTTTGCCCAACTCTAGGCTAATGCAAGTGCTCTGAGCAGGTTTAAGGTAGGTCAGGCTAAGCTATGATGTTTGATAGGTTAGGTGTATTAAATGCATTTTCGACTTTTATGACATTTTCACCTTATGATGGGTTTATCAGGATGTAACCCTATCGTAGGTCAAGAAAAGTCTGTATAAAATTATACACTTGGAATTCTAAATGAATTTGAGGATCAGCTTTACCACTCCTGTAAAAAAGGATGTTAGAATTTTGATAGGGACGACATTGAATCTTTAGATCACTTTGGGTACTATTGACATCTTAACAATGTTAAGTCTTATCTATGAACACGGGATATCTTTTAATTTATTTAGGTCTTTAACTTCTTTCAGCAGTGTTTTATAGTTTTTAGTATGCAAGTATTTCACCTCCTTGCATAGATTCGTTCCTAGGTATTTAATTATTTTAGAGGCGATTGTAAATGGAATTGCTTTTTAAATTTACTTTTTGGTTTGTTCTTTGCTGGTGTATAGAAATAAAACTGATTTTTTTTGGTTGATCTTGTAGCCTGCAACTTTAATGAATTAATTTATTAGTGTTAGTAGCTTTCTTTTGGATTCTTTGGGATTGTCAATCAGTAGGATCATGTCATCTGCAAATAGAGATAATTTTACCTCTTCCTTTCTAATTTGGATGGCTCTTATTTCTTTTTCTTGTCTAATTGTCTAACTTCCAGTACAATGTTGAATAGCAGTGGTGAGAGTGGCCATCCTTGCCTTGTTCCTAATCTTAGGGGGAATGCTTTCAGTCACTCACCATTAAAGTTAACTTTTTAAAAAAATAGGTACCCATTATCATGTTAGGAATTTCCCTCTATTCCTAGTTTTCTAAGGGCTTTCATCATAAAAGGGTGTTGGATTTTGTTAATTGCCTTTTCTACACCAGTTGAGATGGTCTTGTGTTTTTTTCCCCCTTTGATTGATTTCCTTATGTTGAACCATCCTTTCGTTCCTAGGATCAATCACACGGTCATAGTGAATGATCCTTTTAATATGCTGTTGAGTTCAATTTGCTATTTTGTTGAGTATTTTTGCATCTGTATTGATAAGAAATATTTATTTGCCTTTTTTTCTGCTAGATTTGAGCTTAGTTTACTCCTTTTTCTAGTTTCTAATGTGTAAGATTAGGTCACGACTTGAGATCTTTCTTCCTCCCTCCCTCCCTTCCTTCCCTTTCTTTCTTTCTTTCTTTCTTTCTTTCTTTCCTTCCTTTTTCTTTCCTTTATTTCTTCCTTTCCTTTCCTTTCCTTCCTTCCTTTCCTCCCTCCCTCCCTTCTACTTCCTTCCTTCCTTCCTTCTTTCCTTTCTTTCTTTCTTTCCCTCCCTCCCTCCCTTCCTTTTTTAATGTTGGAATTTACAACTATAAGTTCCCTTCTGAGCACTTATTTCACTGAATCCCATAAGTTTTTTATATTGCTTTCATTCTCATTTATCTCTGTTTTCTAATTCCTCTTGTTATTTCTACTTTGAGCCAAAGTTGTTTGAGTGCATTGTTTAATTTCCACATATTTGTGAATTTCCTAGTTTCCTTCTATCAGTTTCTAGTTTCAATCCATTGTGACTGGAGAAGGTACTTTGTATGGTTTCAATCTTTCAAAATGTATTAAGACTTGCTTTTTGGCCTAACATATGACATATCCTAGAGAAAGTTCAAGAAAAATTGTGTATTATGTTGTTGGGTGGGATGCACAGTATATTTCTGTTAGGTCCAATTGATCTATAGTTTTGTTCAAATAATCTATTAACATATTTATCATTGGTCTGTTTTTTAAGTACATTATTGAAATTGATGTAATGAAGTTTTCGAATATTATTTTAGAGCTCTTTCTGTCTTCAATTCTGTCAATATTTGCTTCATATATTTTGGAGCTCTGATGTTTGGTGCATATATGTTTATAAATGTTATATCTTCTTGGTAAACTGAACCTTCTATCACTATATAATATCCTTCTCTTCAGTAAGAGTTTTTTACTTAAAGTCTATTTTGTCTTATATTAGTACAGCCATCCCAGCTTTCTTTTGATTACTATTTTCATGAAATGTCTTTTTCCATCATTTCACTATCAACCTTCTTGTGTTTTTTTTTTTTAATCTAAAGTAAGTGTCTTACAGACAGCATATAGTTGGATCATTTTTAGAAGTTCATTCTGCTAATCTCTCTTTTGATTAGAGCATTTAATCCATTTACATTTAAAGTAATTACTGATACGGAGGGACTTCTGACATTTTCCTATTTGTTTTCTATATAGTTTTTTGTCCTTCACTTCCAACATTTCTACCTTCGTTTGTATTTAGTTGATTTTTATAGTAAAATGTTTTGATTCCCTTCTCATTTCCTTATGTATATATTCTATAGACATTTTCTTTGTTGTTATTGTGGGGATTACATTTAACATCTTAAAGTTATAACAATAAAATTTGAATTTATACTAGCTTGATTTCAATAGCATACAAAAACTCTTCTCCTGTATATGTCAATTCCCCTTTTATGTTATTGATGTCACAGATTACATCTTTATACATTGTGTGCCCAAGAACACACACTAATGACTAATTTTATGCACTTGTCTTTTAAATCATGTAGAAAATAAAAAGAACTACAAACAAATTTAAAATAACACTAGTTCTTTATAATTGCCCATGTATTTACCTTTAACTAGGCACCACTACCTTTATCTTTATTTCTTCATATGGCTTTGAGTTACTACCTATTTTCCTTCCATTTCAACCTGAAGGACTCCTTTTAGCATTTTATGCAGGGCAGGTCTAGAGATAACAAACTTCCTCAGGTTCTTTGTTTAGGGGGGGATGAGTCTGGGGATATCTTAATTTCTCCTTTTTTTTTTTTTTTCTTTTTGCAGTATGTGGGCCTCTCACTATTGTGGCCTCTCCTGTTGTGGAGCACAGGCTCCGGACGCGCAGGCTCAGTGGCCATGACTCATGGGCCCAGCTGCTCTGTGGCATGTGGTATCCTCCCGGACCGGGGCATGAACCCATGTCCCCTGCATCAACAGGCGGACTCTCAACCACTGCGCCACCAGGGAAGCCCCCTCTCCTTCATTTTTGAAGGACAGTTTTGGTGGATATAGAATTCTTGGTTGACAAGTTTCTGCACTTCTCCCCTCCTTCCCTGTCCCCAGTACTTTGAGTATATCAATCCACTGCCTTCTGGCTTCCAAGGTTTCTGATGAGAAAGCAGATGATAATCCCATTGAAGATCCATTGTATGTGACAAGTTACTTCTGCCTTGCTGCTTTCAAGATTTTCTCTTTGTCTTTCAACAGTTTGATTACGTGTCTTGGTGTTGACTTTTTGGGTTTATAACACTTGGAGTTTATTGAACTCGGATTTGTAGATTGATGTATTGCATCAAATCTGGGAAGTTTTCAGTTGTTATTCAAATATTTTTTCCTTTCTCTCTCTTCTTCTGAGAGTCCCATAATTTGTATCTTGGTCCATCTGATGGTGTTCCACAGATACCTTAGGCTCTTTGCTTTTCTTCATCTTTTTTGTTCCTCAGACTTGATAATTTCAGTTGTCCTATCTTCAAGTTAACTCATTCTTTCTTCTGCTTGCTTAGAAATTCTGATTTTGAACCCCTAGAGTGCACTTCTCATTTATTATACTTTTCAGCTTCAGAGTTTTTTGATGGGGATTCTTTTTTTAATAATTTCTATTTATTGATATTCCTATTTTGTTTATACGTCTTTTTCTTGTCTTTGTGCATGTCACCCTTTAGCTCTTTTAGCACCTTTAAGACAGTTGTTTTAAAGTCTTTGTTTAGTAAGTCTGACATCTGGGGTTCCTCAGGTATGTTTTCTGTTAATTTACTTGGTTCCTTTGAATGGGCTATACTTTCCAGTTTCTTTGTATGCACTGTGATTTTTTGTTGTTGAAAACTGGACATTTTAATCTTATAATGTGTCAACTCTTGAAATCAAATTCTCTTGCTTCCCCAGGGTTGGCTGTTTTTTTTATTGTTATAGGGTGCCTGTGTCAGAGATCAATCTGAGTTAAATGTTTTAAGGTATTTTAAGGTCTTTTCTAAGTCTGTATCTTTCCCTGATCATGCATGGTGGCTTTCTAGATTCTCCTGTATACATGGCTGTTTTTGAATGTCTAACAAAACTGGTGTGGCTCCTTTAAATCTCCTAGAAGCTGCTTTAGTTGGTGGAGGTTAGAAAAATAGCGGCCAACCTCTAAGTCCTCACCTCAGCATTGAGAGTAGCAATCCACTCCAGCAATTCAGGAGTCTCAGCAGTCCCTACAACTGCCTGCCGTGAGATGAGGTAGGACATGATGGAGTTGGGGGGTGTGTGCTTGGAAGCCACCACTGGGCTGATGGCTGAATTTTGCCAAAATTAACTGCAGTTTACCAGCCAAGCTGTCCTCTGGAAGTTGTAAGTATTCAAATAAACTCTACTGTTCCAAAATATTCACTTCAGGCAGTTTATGCCAGTACAGTTGTTGTATAGGTGAAGAAAGGAATTCTGGTGCTGCCAACTCCACCATCTTCCTTTTCTCTACTGTGAATTTTCTAACATATTTTATGTGAATTGATATTTCAGATGTACTCAGGGGTGGCTTTGGGGATCATCCCCTTTTCTACTGCTTGATTGCAGAAGTACACAATCATCAAAAACCATTAGGTAAAATAAACCTTCCTTTTTCAATTTAATCTAGAGTATATTTTCTCTATCCTGAAAACAAAGTACAGTTTGATAGCATATAATTACTATTAAGCAGAGGAGAAGAGCAAAAGTACATAAACTGAGTCTTGTTTTTAAGAGAAAATGTATGGTATGTACTTATGTTTGTAAATGCATAGAAAAAAGATTTTAGGAAGAATATACTCCACACTGTTAAAAGATGGGTTATCTCTTAAAGGTTGTATTATAAAGGACTTAAACCTTCTACCTTATACATTTCTGTATTGCTTGAAATTTTGTCCAGCAAGCTTTTATTACTTTAATAGTTATTTTGGAGGAAAGAACATTACAAGATTCAAAGTATTAACCTCTTTATACCCTCTCTTTCCTCTTCCTAGGCAAAGTGACTGTTGGATTTGCCATGTACTACTTTACATATGACCCCTGGATTGGCAAGTTACTTTACCTAGAGGACTTTTATGTCATACAAGCTTACCGAGGTCAAGTAACACTTATAGTATTACTTATACTTTAAAAAGGTATATTTTAATTTAAGGAGAGTTAGTATAAATGTGTTTAAGTTAGTTTATGTAACTTATTTCTATTTCATGAGCCTGATCACTATCCTAGTTATCCTTGCTTATGGTGAAGACTCAATCACAGATTAGAAAAAGATTTATTAGTTCCCATCAAGGCTTGAATAAGCCAAGTTATGAAAGCTATACTTTCATGTTTAAAACGTGCTTTTACATTTTGTGTTGGTTTGTCTAAAATGAATAAGAAATATATTCTGTGATAAGATGATAGTGATAGGGACACATTTCCTCTTCACTGATCTTTAAAGTAAATCCAAAATCTTTTCCATTACCTTTGGAACCACATGCCAATTAGGAAAAAGAGATATGAAAAACATTCATGAGTTGAATTTCAACACAAGCTATTACTAGTATGTAACAACCAGATACAGGGTTTAAAGTAAAGCAAATAACTTTTTAAATGGAGTTTTTCAACTTATGTTTTTTTCATTTTGCATTATCTATTTAAAAGGTCTAGGTATTGGAGCTGAAATGCTGAAGAGGCTAGGTCAGGTATATATTACAGTTAGTATTCTTATTCTATATGCTATCCTTTTCTTCATCAAATGTTATTACTTAACATGGCATAAATTAGACAATTTATCTTAACATCTGAACATAATCTCAAAATATGTTTAATTTTTTAATTCTAATTACACTGGATCTTCAAATCAGATATTCATACAGGTCTTAATTGAGTTATGTTTAATTAAGAGTTGTGTTCTATATAACACACAACCACATTATATACCTCTGTGCTACAAAGCAGAAGTAAGCAAAAGGGAGATTAGAAGGCAATTTTACCCATAAAATAGGTCTACAGTATGAATATGAGAACAGTATAAAAAGATTCTTTTATATTTTGGAAATACACATGAGAATTTTAGGTAAACTTTTTCTATAGAATAAAGAAAAAAATAGTGAAGTAGATTTATATAAAACCAATGAGTAGACTTTGCAAATGTGTTTTGGACTTCTAAAGAAAGTATTTTAAAACTTGATGGGAATTTTTTTCTTTTTACAGATTTAGAGAAGTCCAAGAGATAACTATTGTATTATTTTTGGGAGTATTTTACACACACACAGTGCCTTGCATACAGACCTTTAATAAAATAAATGTACTAATGAAGATTATACTTTCAAGTAACAGTAATATCCATTTGTTTTTAAACAGATAGCCATCAGAAGCCAGTGTAACTGCATGAAGTTTCTGGTTGTCATTTGGAACCAGGCTTCTACTGACTACTATACTTGTCGAGGGGCTTTAGACCTTTCCTCTGAGGAGGGCAGGCATCTGTTCAGGTTTAACAGAGAAGAACTAATGGACATGGCAGGGGAAGAGTTAAAGATGACTCATCACAAATTGTCCCAATACAGGCTCCAATATTTAAATGTCACCTGAGTCCAACAGCAGTTTGATTTTGAGTGTTGTACAATACAACAAGTGAACAAACTCGTTTCAGCAGATCTTTTACTCTGAAAGAGATTTTACCAGTCAACTTTCCATTATCCAAACTAATATACTAATGGCTAGTAGCAGAGCTGATGATCCAAAATAGCAGATAATTCAAAAATAACTTACACTTGGCTTTAGGATATTTTTTATCCTCCATATCTTATTATATTTCAAATGCTTATATTTTTACACACTAACAGACCTGAAATCAGGGTAAGTATTATCATTAACTGGCAGCACTTTTTATTTTTTACCATCTTTATTGGAGTATAACTGCTTTACAATGGTGTGTTAGTTTCTGCTTTATAACAAAGTGAATCAGTTATACATATACATATGTTCCCATATCTCTTCCCTCTTGCATCTCCCTCCCTCCCACCCTCCCTGTCCCACCCCTCTAGGTGGTCACAAAGCACTGAGCTGATCTCCCTGTGCTATGGGGCTGCTTCCCACTAGCTACCTATTTTATGTTTGGTAGTGTATATATGTCCATGCCACTCTCTCACAGCTTACCCTTCCCCCTCCCCACATCCTCAAGTCCATTCTCTAGTAGGTCTGTGTCTTTATTCCCATCTTGCCCCTAGGTTCTTCATGACTTTTCTTTTTCTTAGATTCCATATATATGTGTTAGCATATGGTATTTGTTTTTCTCTCCCTGCCTTACTTCACTCTGTATGACAGACTCTAGGTCCATCCACCTCACTACAAATAACTCAATTTCGTTTCGTTTTATGGCTGAGTAATATTCCGTTGTATATATGTGCCACATCTTCTTTATCCATTCATCTGTTGATGGACACTTAGGTTGCTTCCATGTCCTGGCTATTGTAAATAGAGCTGCAATGAACAATTTGGTACATGACTTTTTGAATTATGGTTTTCTCAGGGTATATGCCCAGTAGTGGGATTGCTGGGTCATATGGTAGTTCCAGTTTTAGTTTCTTAAGGAACGTTCATACTGTTCTCCATAGTGGCTCTATCAATTTACATTCCTACCAACAGTGCAAGAGGGTTCCCTTTTCTGCACACCCTCTCCAGCATTTGTTTCTAGATTTTTTGATGATGGCCATTCTGACCGGTGTGAGATGATATCTCATTGTAGTTTTGATTAGCATTTCTCTAATGATTAATGATGTTGAGCATTCTCTCATGTGTTTATTGGCAATCTGTATATCTTCTTTGGAGAAATGTCTATTTAGGTCTTCTGCCCATTTTTGGATTGGGTTGTTTCGTTTTTTGATATTGAGCTGCATGAGTTGCTTGTAAATTTTGGAGATTAATCCTTTGTCAGTTGCTTCATTTGCAAATATTTTCTCCCATTTTGACAGTTGTCTTTTGGTCTTGTTTATGGTTTCCTTTGCTGTGCAAAAGCTTTGAAGTTTCATTAGGTCCCATTTGTTTATTTTTGTTTTTATTTCCATTTCTCTAGGAGGTGTGTCAAAAAGGGCTTCCCTGATGGCGCAGTGGTTGAGAGTCTGCCTGCCAATGCAGGGGACACAGGTTCGTGCCCTGGTCCAGGAAGATCCCACATGCCACGGAGCAGCTAAGCCCGTGAGCCATGGCCCCTGAGCCTGCGTGTCCGGAGCCTGTGCTCTGCAACGGGAGAGGCCACAACAGTGAGAGGCCTGCGAACCGCAAAAAAAAAAACAAAAAAAGGATCTTGCTGTGATTTATGTCACAGAGTGTTCTGCCTATGTTTTCCTCTAAGAGTTTGATAGTGTCTAGCCTTACATTTAGATCTTTAATCCATTTTGGGTTTATTGTTTTGTATGGTGTCAGAGAGTGTTCTAATTTCATACTTTTACATGTACCTGTCCAGTTTTCCCAGCACCACTTATTGAAGAGGCTGTCTTTTCTCCAATGTATATTCTTGCCTCCTTTATCAAAGATAAGGTGACCTGGCAGCACTTTTTTCTTGGATTTGATGAAATATCGGTGCATTTGTTTATAAACAGATCTGAGGTAAAAAAATTTATTTAAAATGCTGAAGCTTAATTTTGAAAAGCTTACCTATAAAAAACTAGCAAGTGAACTGCTTCCCCACCTTGAGCAGATCAAGGACCACTGCCTCCTTAACTTCATCTCAGAACTACGTTCCATCTCTGAGCATCCATAGTTCTTTTGTAGTACCTATCTTAGGGAAGATACTACATAGAACACTGTATTTGTGTATGTTTCTATCCTTTCTAGTAGAATGTAAGCCTTTTGATAGGGTGCAAAAATAATTATAATTCTGTGTTACAACTAGCATGGTAGAACATGTGAGTTTCTACTACATACCAGGTATTCATGGGCATAAAAGCTACACAAATATATGATTCAGTCATACCCACAAGGAGCCTTGTAAGTGAAAAAATACTAACCTAGTTTTAGTTTTATAATAAAATGTATGTGCTATCACAGCTATAAATACCAAATGTAAGGGAATGTACAGGAGAGCGCATCTATATCCTACCTTGGAAAACTGAGAAAGGATAGGTTTGAAGGATGAGTAGGAAGTTGGAATGAAGCAGGATGAGACAGAAAAAATCCTAAGAGGAAACACCAACATAGGCAGAGAAAAAGAGACATAAAATAGCAAAGCATGTTCAAGAGGCAAGTGGTAAGTTATAGATAAAATATAACATACATTGGCAGTACGGTGGGTGGGGAGAAGGAAGGAAGGATTAAAGTTTAGTTGGGATCATATATTAAGGGCTTTGTATGTCATACTAAGGGGTCTTGATTTGATTCTGTAGGCAATGATTAGCCACTGAGGACTTCAGGAACACAACTACCCAAAACAGTTGTTAGAAACATAACTATGTCATAATAATATGACAGATGGGTTAGAAGAACAAGGTGGCAGACACTGTGTGTTAGCTTAAACTCAACACCCATTCCAAATCCCTTACCCCTTGCCTTTCTCTCCATAGACAAAAATGTGACTTGCCAATCTTCCTTGAGCTAAATGTGGCTTACATGACAAATTCTGGTCAAGATATAGACATAAGTCTTTTGAGGAAGCACTTACTTCTCTGATAAAAGGGGGTCAGAAGCATCTGGTACAGTTTCTGTAACCCTTCTTCCTACTCTGAGTGTGTATGTGTTCCCCAGAGGTATAGGAGCCATTTTGTGATCATGAGGTGACAAATCAACATGCTAAAGAGCAGAGTAGAAAGAGAAAATGTCTAGATCCTTGATGATACCAATGAGCCACTATACCAACCCTGTACTGACCAATTCCCAGACTTTAAATAGACTCTCACTTATTTAAGCTACAGTTAACTGGTTTACTGTTACCTATAAGGAGAATGCATTGTTAAATGACAAAAAGCAAGATTGATATCAGGCAGATTAACCAGGGGCTACTATAATAATCCAGGAAAGTGATGAAGAAGACTTGAATGAGAGCAAGGATTAGAGAAGGTAGAAAAGATTTGAGAAAAACAGAAATGAGAGAGATGTAGAGACAATTTAGTTTTAAGTCTATTGACATTGAGGATATCTATGGGATATTAGGTGGATATGACTAACAAATAATTAGAAAGATAGTTATACACTTCTGGAGAAATACAGGAGCTGGAAATATAAATAATAATGACATATAAATGGTAGCTGAAGTCAGTAAAGTATGTTGAATGGAAATGAGAGAGCACAGAATGAGAAAAGACTAGAAATGCAACCTGAGGAGCCTCAGCATTTAAGGGATTCAGAGCAAGAGAAGAATGAAGAATAACAAGAGGAGCAGCAATGACACCAAAGGGAGAACTGAATTTTAGGAGGGAGTGGTCAAGAGTCAAACATTACAGAATATTCAAGTAGGTATAGAGGCCAAGGTGTCACAACTTAGAGAGGAATTGAAAGTGAGGAAGTAAGAAAGTGACATTAATTACTGTTTTATGAAGTCTGAAAATCATAGGAAAGAGAAAGAAAAGATAGCTCAAGAGGAAGAGGTAGAGTTGGGGAAAGGTTTTTGTTACTGTTGTCTTTGGATAAAGAAGATCTGAAGCTATTTAGAGATTGAGAAAACAAAATGAATGAAAAGAGAAACCAAAGAATGAAGATTAAATGGGATGGAATATGGTACTGGAAAAGATAGGAAAGGAGGAGATCAGGAACACAAATAGAAGCATTAGCTTTAGAAAAGGGGGATGCATGGCTGAAAAGAGGTAAGTCTTGAAGGTAGATGTGAAGAAGTTGGGAAAAACTATGTGTAATAACTTATTTTTTTCTCTATGTAATAGGAGACAGTCATCATTGGCAGGTATAGGAGGTTTGAGAATAAAAGGTCTGTAATGCCTCTCCTGGAAAACAGAATAGGAAACCACCCAGGAACCAGTAGAAGGAATGCTAAGCAGCATTGGGGGTCCCATGTAGCATATGTTCCTCTCAAATAGTTAGAGGTATTTTGGGACATTTAAGAGGAGTTAACATTAATAAAACAGAGACAAAGCCAAGCCCAAGTGTCATAAAATATGGATATTTTATTCCAGCTCTGGGAAATGAAAAACAGAGGGGGAGGGAACACATCCTTCCACACACAATTCTAATTTGGCTGACATTAATTCATAAAAGTTAAACAAATATATATGTGCATATATATACATAATTATATACACACATACATATTTTTTTCAGATTTTAGTCTCATCAGTGTTCATATATTTACTTTTATTTTTTTATAAATACCCTTAAAAATCACCAAATGCATCCTAATACTTTTACCTCTGCCTCCTCATCGATCATTTAGTATTGTTCGGATTGTATTCAATTTGAGTTTTAATCACTTATGTGATTTGTCTAACTGTACATTAGAAGATGTAAGGGAAAAACTTGGTTTAAATTATACTCCATGCATCACAGTTACCCATTACATGATTTTTTTCACTGTTATTCGCAACTTCACACATCTTGTAGTTCTCTATGCAGACTATTTCAGCTTCTAGTGCTGTACATATCTACATCTTCTGGATGGGACTGCCCGTGATCCATGAGCTTGGGGTCAGCCATAAACTGTGTAGCACCTGATAAAGTATTAAAATGAAAAATATTAGTCATTCATTTAACAAATTTCCTGTTGATATGGGGCACACATCAGCGAACAAAACAGATAAAAATGTCTGCCAACATGGACCTAACATTCAAGTTGGGTGAGAGAGACAATAAACTAAATGACATACCAGATGGTGGTAAGTGCTACGCAAAAAAAATATTAAATAAATCAGGAAGGAGGGGCATATGGAGTGCTTGGGTGGTTTGCAGTTTTAAATAGGGTGGCCAGGGAAAGCCTTCT